GGATGGTGCGCGGTATGTGACCAAATCGACAAAAGCGCGATATGATGGTGAGTCGCGTCAATAGTCGTGTTGCGTTTGTGGCGATAAGAACAAATGTCCTGAAATTTGTCGTTCAGGTGTTATGGCGGAAATCGCAAGCGCGTTGCGGGAACCAGAGGCGGCACCTCCCACATGATGAAGAGGGGAAGTCTACGTCGTCGTCGTCGTCGCTATTCTGGATGAGATGATGACGATGATGACGATGATGATATCGAAGGTGGTTTTTTTTTCCTCTGTTTCCGCGTATAGTCTGGTTCTTTTCTTTCGTTTCTCGTCAACTATTTCCTTTGTTTCTTCTCCTTTTTTTCTGGTGACTGCACCATATCGCATCTTCACGTTTCCATCTTTCTTCCACTTGGCTATTTTCTTCCTTCTCCTTATGGGCTCCTGTATGTGTTATCACGATAAACCCTCCTCAAGTGTGTGTACTCTTTCCTACTATTCTCTGGGAAACTATGTTCAAATGAATACTTGTCCACCATGTCCAATACTCTTTCAATCAACTTGTGCTCATCTTGATTGTGAGTGGTAAGGTTGGTCTACCCTGGCTTGAATCAAGAGGGTACTTATAACTTTTTATAACATAGCATTTTAATGGCCGTCATAGCTCAGTGGGAGAGCGTTAGACTGAAGTTTCAGCTGCATCTACCGGTCGCCTGTTCGATCCAGGCTGACGGCATTTTTTGCTCCTCTCCACGATGGGCATTTTGATCCAGATCGCGCACCGCTTACCTCCTTTGCGGCCTACAGTCTTCCTTTTGGACACGGTTGAATACACACAACGATGTTTCATGTTTGGGCTTGCCAACACCTTTACATCGCGGGATTCGCTACCATCTGGGCTGTAGAAATCGATCCTAGGAAGACACACATCCCGGAGTTGAGAGTTTAGAGTGGTGTATATGAGCGCAACAAACCCAAAATTCGGGGCCCCATACATCCTCGTCGGTAACGCTGAAACCGTCTTGCCTCCGTTATATCTCTCAGAAGGATGCGTACGTTTATCAAGGCACTTACGCAAATAAAGTCTATCATTCGTCCTCCTTGGCTGAGCTCTCATCAGCTCTCTTGGGTGTACTTGCTTAACTTTGCCTTCCCTCCCCTCCAATCGGTCTCAACGTTGACAATAGGTTTACCTGGTTATTTGGCCTATCCTCTGTCGGAGCTCGGATAGCCAGTCTCCTGTTCCTCTGGTCGTATCTACAAGTTGTACCATAAGAAGCGTAGCCGAATCGGATCGGTGTCAGAGAAACGTGTGGATCAAAACATCTCGTCGAAACGCGATGAATCCTTGGGCTAGACTCAGAGTAACAGCCGTAGGTATGTGGTACGCGAGCACAACTATGAGAGAGGTCTGAATTTTAATCGAGGTTGATCATCTCATGGTCAATTCATCCAACTTGACCCCAGCCGCAATATGGGCAATACTCATCCGGTCGGAGGTCGTTCTTCAGGAGACAATGGAGTTTCTACAACAAATCAAATGATCCAAACAAGCAGGGGTCGTGTTAGCGGTCCATCTACATCGTAGGCGCTTACCTCGAAATTTTGTTCAAAGGGTTGACATTGGTCATCATCTAGAAGACCGTCCCGTAATGCTGATGGCATCAAAACCTGCAGTGATTTAGCTTCTTCTGAACCACCAGATACGACAGCACAAGTTCAGGACATTCTCAAACGTGCTGCAGAGTCAGTTTTCTGACAATGTCTTCCCCTCATCCCTTTCCTAACTCAAAACTAGATCCAAAAGACCACAATTTTTGGACAAAAACGAGGCGGCACACGCTGGGAAAGCCGAAGACAATATAGACGCGGACGCGTTAGGTAAAGGGCCTCCAAATGCTCAGTGGGACGTAGAAGATTTAGCGATTCGGGATATTACCTTTTGGAAAACTGGATTTACTGTCGGGGATGGACACTTACGCCTTTACG